TAAATAACGTTTGAAGTACTTCGTATATAAAATGGAATCACAGGCAAAGGCAATAAACAAATAAAGAGAGGAATAAATGAAAATAACGACACCTCAATTAATTCGTCTCCAGTGGGCGCGCGAACTTCCCCTCACCTTTGTTTCCGTCCTCTGAACTTCGTCGCAGACGGCGAAATGCATTAAATAAACACATTCACAAAAGCAAACTAAAAATAGTTTCCCGCCACAAAAATCCCTCATAAAATGAAGCTTCTTTTCTGACATTCCCAACAGAGAAAAATGCTGCCACACAGAGATGCTGCCTTGATATTAAAGAGGGCTTTTACGGTACTTATTTCAGATTTAAAGATGGCTTTTACGGTACTTATTTCAGATTGCATTTAATCTCAATAAAGATGCGCGTTTAATCTCAGATAAATGGCACCATCATCAGCTACTAATCGTGTGGATTTCCAAGTCGTGGAAAATATATACAAATTGCAGGTGTTATGAATATATTACACAGGAAAATTCCCCTCTTCAGTATATGACTGAACTGACTTGCCATTTGACATAGAGACTAACCGACTAATCACGACGATTACCTAACCCTTCTTAATGACACCGCAGCGACCAATCTCGCATTTCAAACACGCTACGAGATCCGAACTTGTCTCTCCAGCTATAATCTCAACCTTTCTAACTTGTACAACAACCCTCATCGCCATCATTTCTTCCCCGTAAAGAGCCGAAATACGTTACGCCGTTCGCACAAACACAAGCCGGCCTTCTCGCGACCGCAGATTCCCTTGGCGCAGAGGAAATGTGTACACGAGGACAAAGTGACCGCATGGTGAGCGGCAGCTTCCCTGTCCCCCCATTTTCCGCTTCCTTTTCCCGCTTCGCTTCCCCAGCCACTTCCTAACCTTACTCAGTCCGGAAGTAAAGGTCACGTGTATCATGGCAGCGACTAATGTGTACATATTTTTAACAAGAAATATCTTCATTAGGCTTATGTCGCATTTGTATACCATTTTCAGGCATGCATATATAGTGATATTTACGTAACTTTGTCAAAAGCTCGGAAGAATTTACTTTTTGTACACATATTTACAAAGGTTTTATCTCACTTAGGCAGTTCTCCCTCCTAATGTAATTTAAGTGACACAACACAACATTAAATGCAACTTAAAACCTATAAACTTTCCTACCAACATTCAGTAAGGTTTATCTAAATCAAACAAAATCTCAAAAAAAATTGAGAACGATGAACGAGTTCCATGAAATGATGATTCTAACACAAACTACTAACAACTTTTACGCTGAAGAAAGAAAAAAGACTATCTTTAACAAAAACAAAACAATACAAAGGTGGAATAAGGTACTCCCTTTTATACCTCGCCGTTATGTGGACGAACCACGGGGCATCAATAATAAAATTTCTCGCTCGCACTCACTATAACAATCAAAGATTGATATAGCGCTGGTCAATAGCAATTTGCTTTGCATGGGATAGTCCGCAGGTTTGGCAACGATTCACAGCTAACGTTCCAAGGCCAAACTCAGTGTGGACGTGACATTCGCTACTAAAGAAATGTAAAATCATTGTCAGTTAAAAAAGTGGAAATCCTGGCATAGCATCAATGAAAACAATATTGCAGAGTTCACTCCCCTATTTCACTTTAGTTTGACAGGCGTCTGAAAGCTTCAAGCGCCATGCGTGTGCACTGTTTTCATCTCCTGGCCTGCCTCCACTAGGTCTATCACATACTTTTTTTCTCGCGCAAATTGGTACACACTCAAAAATTCACTTCAGCACTGCGTTTGCTCAGCCAGCTTTATTCCCTAACTATTCACTATTGTATTTGAGAACAATTAACAATTTCTTGTACAATAGCGTTCGCTTGACACGAGTTCCTGCGCCTTATCTTCCACTGGGCGATAATAACGTGCTTCGCGTTAGGTTGTAAAATCGTGTTTCTATCAGCACACGCACCGAATGCCAGAAGTCTTGCGTTGAACACTACATCAAAATACGATCTCAACACGAACACATTCCGTGATCTCCCTACAAACAAGGGTGAGTTCAAAGGCTACACACTTCGACTTGGGCACAACGCGTTGTCGACCGGTTACGAGAGGCACCGGACGCCGCGGACTCATGACTCACACTGCCGACCACAGCACCAAGCAACACACAACACTCTCGATTTCCTGTATGACCCTCCTTCACCCCGGCTCCTCGCCAGCCCTCCAGCCACCAACAGCGCGGAGAGCACGTACACACGCGCCCTCGCCACGTGTGCGAGTCAGGTGTGAACTGTGGCTGACGCGGCCTCTCGCTCCTTCGGTACTCTCGCACAGTCGGAGCACAACTGTTCCCGTTCGTGATGGCGCTGCTACGGGTGCTGGCGGCGGTCGCACACATTCACTGGGAACGTGTCTACCTTCCCATAGTCAACATGACTGAGTTCAATGTGCTGGCGAGGCATGGAGAGGAAGAGCAATATGTTCTGACAAT